CGAGGTACTTATCGTTGTTGTATTCGGGTATCGAGTAACTCGCGTCTTGCTCCGACACAAAGAAGAAGTTCTCCTCGGCCCGTCGGCGCCCGCTTCTTCACTCTCGTTGAGGCCGTCACACGTTTCGGATGCATGCTCACAAGCCTTTCCTTAACTATTGTACTTAGAGAATTTTCAAGTTCCATCATCTCGTGACGGTCTCTCATATTCTCGTATATCTCTTTTTTTCTTTCTGGTTCTTTCTCATTACAATTGTTGCAATCAAGTGTATTCGTGATTTCAACCGATTTCTCGATCTTCTTAATTAATTCGTACAAGAAAAGACAGACGCGACATTCGGAAGCCGGGAGTGCGATTATCGCGAGCGTTCGACGTTCCGCCATCTCAGCTGGGAGGAACGCAGGCCGTACGTGGGCTCTTCTTTTTTTTGGTCACGCAAGGGAAATCCTCATTGATACCCCGGCCCCTTGGGGAGGGCGGGGATTATGTCGGACTTCTACCGATTAGAACCCCTGCGGGGTGCCTACCGCTCGGACTGTGGTAGGGGGAGTCAGGGAAACTATGCCTGCATCCTTCCCCGACACCCCGGGCCCAGGGCTCTCTTGAGGCCCCATGTCTAAGCACGCCCCTCCCTGATTGGAAGTCAAGGGCGCTGTGCTCCGGCCGGTTGTCCGGCCGGGTTGGTCTTCCGGTGTTAATTAGGAGAGAGAGGACACCCGCCCTCTCTCTTTGCCTCCGCTTTTCCCCTTCCCTACTGAGTGGGAAGGGGGGGCAGTGGAGCGAGGCCCGGCCCCAACCGGTCCTCGCTCCCCTTCTCCCTACCATCACCGACGCCCGGAATAGGCGAGAGGGCTTACCCTCTCTCCCACCCGCCCCCATCGGTACGTCGAAGGCGGGCTCGAGGCGGCCGAAAAGGCGGCCTTCGACGAGCCGTTGGCCTCTTCTCCTCGGCCGGCGCCACCTCGGGCCCGCTTCCCCCCCTGAGGAGCGTCGCTCGCTCCGTCGCTCCCTGCGACGGACTCTTGGGCGGCGGCCTCCTTGCGGAACATGACGTGCCGGCAAAAGGAGGCCGCCGCTCCCCAAACCTCCTCGCTCCCGCACATTGCTTTGAGCAAGTGCGGGAGCGAGAGGGGCCCCTCTTGGCACCCTACTGCCCGAGCGAGGACACGGCGTTGCGGAGCCCAAATCAGGCACACGGCCAGGGTGTATTCCGTCGTGTCCTGCGGCTCCGGGCAGTGGTGACAGCCCATGCTGGGCTCCCTTCCAATCCGGTGCAGGTACCGACCGAAGCACCCGTGCCCAGTCAGCACCTGCACCATATGGAAGGTGAGCCCGCGTCCCCGCCTGTCTGCCATTTCTGGCAGACAGGGGCGGACGGCCTCAGGCGTTCGGATCCCGAATCCTTTGGGGTCAGCCAATATGGCTGACCACTGTTCTCGGAGGACTCGGGATCTGGCCTGGGATTCCAAGGCCTTCAGGTCCCTGGCCGATGGATCTTTCCCCTCCTCGCGGAGCTTCTTCACCCTCCAATAGAGGGTGTGCCTTGATTCGGCAAGGAGCTCCACATGTACGAGGGCTCCTTCTCCCGTTCCGTTGGACGCCTAAATGACGTTCCAGCCATCCGATCAAAGTAAGCCTTTCGATACCCACGTGAATAAACAACATTTATCTTCCTCTATGTCGTTCAATGTGTTTCGCAAACCGTGTATTGTTCTCCGTACAGAAGCGCTTTCCTCATAGTCATATCCACGTTACCAAATAAATTCTTTTGAATCCTTAAAATTCCACGGGACGTAACAATATACAGGGTGGTCCACGTAAAGTGTTACAAGTCCATAATTTCAAAAATATTTATCAAATCAAAAAAATTGTTCATAAGGAAGTTACATATTCGAGAGACCTCTCTAACTACATAAACGTAAAGTCACTCCCACTTCCCCTTTAAGGGAGGACGGGGGTAACTTCATAATTTTTTATGAAACTCTCTATAAAATGTTACATATTTGGATTCTACGGGAAAAAACAAGTAAATTTTATATGAAACATTTGTTTGGAAAATACTTCTATCAAAAGTTATAAGCATCTAAATTTTTACTGACCGATTTCATTCATGGTTGAACTCCATTAACGCAAAGTTACGTTTGCGATGCAACAAAAACAAAAAAGACCTTAGAGTACAGTAGAGGGGAAAGTTTGCTATATATTCATTGGTCGAAAATCACAGTGATGGGAGAAATTCTTCCAATCGGGTTATAATATATCCCCCACCACAGCTCGAGCGACTTTAATCGGTGACTTTAACGAAAGATGCGTCTCAAATGACCTAGATCACAATATTTTGCGATTTTTTGGTACATTTCGCGCATGTTGCGAGGAAAACAGATGCAACGAAAATATCGGCGATTTTATCCCGTCGAACATGAATCTGGAAACACGCACGAGAGTACTCAAGTGCTCTGAGTTGCCTAAACGAACGCGATCTTATTTCGAAGAACGAAGGCGTTTCGGACAGTTTGAAAGAAAAACAAGTATCGATAGTCGTCGCGGTGACGATTGCGATAGAATCGAGTCTTCGTACAAAAAGCGACCTGGATTACAATACATCAGAGATCTTATGAACCGATACACTTTGAATGTCGCATACGAATTGTATGACAAGCTCGATTTTGACGGGGAAGAAATGTTGAATCGTGATCAAAGTTTTACCGCGCATAATGCAAGAAATTGCTGAGAGAACGTTAGAGCCCATCAAAGACAAATTGAACGCGATAACATATTTTCATCATTGTGCGAACGCTCTGAAGATTTTGTTGCGAAAATAATGCGTTTCCTATTATTCCTATTTCCTATTCGAGTTTCTTATTATTTCATGCTTGATGATACTCGTATATTACATACGGGTTGTTTCAGACCACCCGGGTCACCCGACTTTTTCGTAAACGCGACATTTTAGAAAGAAACGTTTCAAACAAGAGTTGTAGAGCCTCAAAAAATCTATTTATTGATGCAATAAAATTGATCCTGGGATGACTTTGAAAAGCCCAGTCAAGATCAACATCTTAAATGGAGATGGAAATATCTTAAATGGAAACTTCAACTTTTTATTACATTGTTTTTTTCTCCAATTAATTTGAACAACTTTTGTCTAAAACATTTTTTTATTTGTTTAATATTTTTTGAAATATGTATATGAGGAAAACTTGGTAACTTTTACAACATTTGACTTACGATATCTCGCTAACTCGCTTGTCGAAAGAAAAAACTAATACTAGATATTTTTTACTTTATTTAGTCTCAAGAATATATTGCTACAATAGTGCCCTAACAGATAAGGGTATAAATTGTTCTCCCTCAAACGCTCAATGAGAGAAATCGTCTGCTCACCAGGCGATTCTCAATGTCCACAAAATATCGACGTTCGTATACAGAATAATCGAATGTGCGTCGTCGTGCGTGAGTATCGCTTTGCTCGCTGTCGCCAAATACATAGTTTGGAATAGCGTTTCAAGTTGGCCTCATATACATCGCTCGCGTCCACTGAATCGCTGGTTGTTGCGCGAATGTTTTCAATGTTCCTGCTGACATTGCCGTCGTCGTCGTCGTCGTCGTCGTTGTCGTTGTCATCATCGTTATTGCTCCTCCTAGTACAATGTGGTGGATTAAACTGGTCCATCAGACTGACTCATTGCACCGGATCATCGTAGTCATCGTCACTACGACGAATTTCGCTATGTTCTATGGCGTCGTACACTTCCTGGTAGTCGCAATCCGCAGCGTTGTCGATATTTCGCGGTTCTTCGACGACATTCGCTACTAATGCAGTGGCCGAGTTGTGTGATGGAGGATCCACTCGGTGAGCGACGTTGCTCACGAGAGATGATATCATAAACTTGTTTGACGTCCGTGTACGCTGCTTCTCCGTCGGACAACTCTTTTGGAGGAGAAACACGATGGAAGCCGCAGTTGCCACAGCGATACCCATTTCCTCTTCTCGGTCGTTGCGATTGTGTTCAGCTTGCTGTTGGTGTTGTCAGCGTTGAGGCCATTGGTGGCGATATTAGACACAGCATTGGTCTTGCGATCTATTGCCACTGTCGTCGTCGTCATTTGGCTTCTGTTCGATATGTTGGACGCCGCTGCATTCAGATTCTCGGAGTTCAGAATCGCCGCTGTCGTCTTCACTTGTGATGGTGGTGTACATTTCGGCATCGTCACTATTCTCTGTACGATGGGCGAGTTGTTTAGAAACGAACCATACCTCTTGAGAAAGACGTCGTAGTCGCACAGTGACAAGATAAAACAACGGTCCAACTCGATCTCGCGTTCAAGGCGATGGGTCGATATTATTGTACCAGGCGGTAACAATTTGTACGATAAATGGCCCTGTGACGACGACGTAGTCTTGAGGGATTTGCCGTCCTGCCAGATCAAACGCTGACGTCCGCTCAAGGTGTATTGCACGAGTATATGATTAAACAAACTGCCTACTTTGCTTTGGGAAAAACCGTTCAGGCGAATGCAGTGAGTCTTTGAGTGCATATATTTGCCTACTTGAAGCCACATTCCGCCGTATCCAATGTCCGCGTCACTGAACCTATCGTCGTCGTTACAATCGTCGCTCTCATCGTCATTTGTTTCGTCGCGTTGTTTTCTCTGTCGCCGCGACTCGAGATAGGCGCACCATTTCGTAGAACCGGCCATTAGTTCGTGATGCAGATCTAGAGTTTCAAATGACATTCGTTGCGCAAATAGCTCGCATGTCAGAAACAATACGAACGGTAATAGACGCTCGTCGTCGCGCGGAAAAGCGACACCGAGAGTAGACAAGTCTAGGGTGCGTTCGGAAACAGTGTGCTTCGGTTGTTTCAGTGGAACAGTAGTTTGTTAGTAATGTGCCCTCAACTAGTTCACGTCACCGAACGCTTCTCACGTACTAGATGTGACGTATAGTTCTGCTTTCAGCCATTACCAAAGAACGACCAGATACTAGGTATATTTACTAAAATGGATATTGTACTTGTAGCCGGTGCGATAACTGGTGGATATAATTTATTAAAATTAATTGTTGGAAAAACTCAGAATGAAGAGAGCAGTGAAGAAGAATACGATCGCTGGAATGAAGAGGCAGATATATTTGAAGCACGGGTACGTAAACGAGGAGATTTCAGACACGTTACGAGAATTGAAGGTTATGTAAATATAACAATACGTGACTATTCAGAAAGACAATTCAGAGAACATTTCCGAATGACTAGAGAAACATACGAAATTTTCGAGCAAATATTGGCACCTGATCTGATTAGAACAGCGGAAAGTGGAAGACATACTTTAGATGTCCGGACACAGTTACTTGCAGTTCTGTGGTTGCTTGCAACTCCTGATTCATTCAGGTAAGTTTATGTCAGATGTCTGTCGAAGATACGTATTTTTAATGTTGTAAAGAGGAAAGAAATTTAATATCTCACGGTTCTTACTTTTCTAGATCTGTGTCTGATCGCTTTGATATTAGCAAATCATTATTGCATGATTCCATGAGAAGAGTTGTGGATGCCTTGAATAATGTAGCTGACAGGTATATTAAATGGCCTATAGGTGAACGATTGGATGTTGTTAAACATCGATTTTCACGAATTGGCTCTCTTCCTGATGTCATAGGGGCAATTGGTGGATGTCATATTCCTATCCTAGCGCCAAAGGTAAGTTAACTTATTTCTAAGAATTTACTTATCTTAATTTACTTAACCTAAGTTATAATTAACTTATAAGAATAACTTATAAGAATTCATGGAAACTAAAAATATTTTTGTTATCAAATTTTGTTATCTTATTTTTATAGGTTCATCCTATTTCCTATAGAACAAGAAAAAAAGAATATGCCATTACACTGCAGGCTGTGTGCGATGCAGATCTGATATTCACAGACTGTTTTGTCGGGTTTGCTGGATCCGCTCATGATGCCAGAATTTTCAGGAACTCTGATCTCTGGCGTATAGTAAGAAGAAATGAAAATGATTTTTTTCCTAATAATGAATTCATTATAGCTGATAAAGCTTATCCGGTGTTGCCATGGTACATAGCACATATCAATAGAGGTAATATGACTGAGGTATAATCAATTGTAGAGTAGTGAACTTTCTGTTTAAAGTTTTAATTCAGATTGCAGCAAGAACTTCTTTTATATTTGTGCTGTAAGTTGCTTTAATTAAATATTGTTCCTTTATCTGTGCAGGCACAGAACAATTTTAATCAGCATCTTTCAAAAATGAGGGCGGTTATTGAAAGAGCTTTTGCACTTCTTAAGGGAAGATTCCGACGGCTAAAGTACTTGCATATGAGCTGTGCCGATCTGATACCTTATGTAATTTTGGCATGTTGTGTACTTCACAATATTTGCCTTCAAGGTTGTAAACATGATATAGATGAGTTTATAGAAGAGGGTATGGACCAGGCTGCTGGTGGCAACAATAATGCGAATGACTTAAACCCTAATTGGTTACCTAATGACCCAATAGGATTGGCCCGCCGTGAATATCTTACAACTCTTGTGGAACACATTGTATAATGAAATATATTGGTTCTGACGAAATAAAGCATAAAGGCCTATCCAGATAAACCTGTATGGCTGCATGTATAAGACTGTCAACGTGGATACTTTATGTTAGATGTTCATTGGTCAAGACGGTCTTATGTTGTAATATAGGATGTTGTAATATCATATACAGCTATGAAAGTTTGTCTGGATAAGAAAACATAAAACTTAAAACATGGTCTTTTTTATTTAATAAATTTTATACCTGAACACAAATATAGTTAGTATGTATATAGTGTAGTTTAACAAAAAAATTGTTATTCTGTGTATACAGAATAACAATTTTTTTGTTAAACTACACTACATATATACTATATAATTTTTTGTAATACACAGAAGCTTTCTTCAAACAGAACTCAGTCTTATATGATTCAAAAATATTAACAAAAACTTATGTTTCTAGATTAAGATACTTTTGAGACATACATACTAACATTTAATAGAATTTAGCAGTAGCATACATTCAGCACTATAAAAAAAGAAACACAAGGACGATTGCACCATAAAATATAGCGAACTTTACATAACAATGGTGGTTCAAATTCTGTTGACATGGTTAAGTTGAATGAGAAAACAGATAAAGGTCCGCACATAACGTCTACTTTTGAAATTCGTATAACTATCAGTATTTTTATCACAACTTTTATAAATATATTTATTTTAATAAATGAGTCTTTGCATCACAGCCTCATATGTATTATTTGAGCATCGATCATATATCACACAATTAATCATTAAAGTATCTATAATTTTACTAGTAAACAACTTAGTACAATAGTTAACTTTTGTACTTTTCGCTGTATTGTATAATACACAATCGACATCTTAATAAAAAAAGTTTAGAATATGAGTATCGACGTTTACTGTAACTTACTACTAACAAAATTGTTATATCCCAAGTAGCACACATCATTTAAGAAACATTTCTGCAAAGTTGTACAGTTATAAAGCGTTACATACGTTTAGAAAATGTGTAAACCAACATAAGTTACTTGGGATCTTACGTTTAGTTAAATCTTAATCATCTTCATGCTTTAACACGTATAACTTTATAAATTATGTAGTAGAATATTAAGGTTTCATAAGGATTAAAAAAAAACATTTTATCTATATGAATAGATCTGTTGTTTTTCGAATAACTTCCTGAAGTGATGCAATAAGTTAGAGCGAAATTAATAGAGTTCATTTTACTCAAAACTTATTGTATAATGTAAAATTTATAAAATTATATTGCACAGTTTAGAAAATTCTTTGAAAATACAAACCTTTTACATCTCGTATAAAAACAGTATTTAAAATTGTAAAACAAAGTAAACATTTAAATAAACATTAAAATGTTAACGAGGAAATACAAAAAGACTCACAACTTATCAATAAGTTTCCCCATCATTTCTTTATATGCATCAATTGCTGCCTTCGATTCAGCCATGTTCTCTCTGTGACGTCGCTCCCTCACCTCTTCTCGAGATTTCGCCTCGGAAAGAAGAGCAGTGAACCAGTCTTGCAATTCTCTTTGAACTCTTGTTATCTTCCGTTGTCTTTTCTTTGGTAAAGGACCTTTTTCACCTTCAGTTGGTGACTTATAATCTTCACTCATCTCCTCGAGATAAGTTAGATCTTTGGCTTTTATATCTGCTCTCTTCCTCTTGATAAGATTCGAGGCAACAGCAACGGGTTTAACACGACTTTTCGCCTAAAACTTCTTCCAATTCTTCGTATTGGTATTCATATTCGTATATATATACAATTTACAGGTTTTAGGATCATTCCCAGATTTATTGTTATAGTCTTTCGTTTCCATGTATTTCCTCTTTATATCCTTCCACTTGTTTTCACATTGGACAGGAGATTTTTGATTCCATTCTGGATTACTATTTTTTAATTCTTTACTAATCATAAGCCATACATCCCGGCTCTTCATATTTTTGAAATGGTTTTGGTGATCTTGCCAAAGATTAATAAAGCATCTAACTTCATTATCATCCTTCCAGGATGCCGTACTTGAAAGGTACTGCAGGTTATATTTTAATATTAGTATTTTTTTGAATATATGACAATATATTTGGACAAAACCACACGTAACATGTGGGTGATCGGACGCCGTTTTGTACGTAACGACTTTCTTTTCTGGATTTCTAGACAAAGATACAATAAAACCAACAGTATCAGTTGATAGAGTGGAAAATGTCCTTCAAGATCATATATAAATATTAAACAATGTCATAATACACTGATAGTTATATGAATTTCAAAAGTGGACAAATTAGATAATACTGACTTGATCACTTTTGAAATTCGTATAACTATCAATGTATATATGACATTGTAAAATGTTTATATATAACTTGAAGGACATTTTAAGCTGTATCGATAGATGCTATTGATTCTACTTGTAACGGTAACGCCCGCGGGGTTCGGTGCGATCGGTCGCCCCACCATCGCGCCCGGCTCGCCGCTTCCGCGACGCCTCGCTCGCCGCCGCGTCGGTGCGTTACTCGGGTGAAGGGCTAATTCAAGGTAGCTTCTCGGAAGAAATGTGTGTTCAGCGTTTCTGTGTTAACAAGTTGGGTGCGTCCCGCAAGGCGCTCCGTTTATTTAAAAGACGTTCGATACTATATGATAGATATATATATAAGTGTATGTGGGCGGCTCGCTGGCCCGGTGTGGCTTCGGCGATGTCCGTTCCTTAGCGCCCGTGATTCCTGCGTAGCCGCAAGGATGGTCCCCTATCCGCGGGATCAGAGGGGATGTTCCGCGGCCTCTTGGCGGATGGTCCGACGTCTTCGACCACGAGTCCTGTTGAGGGCGACTTACGCCAGCTGTTCTTTGGATAAGCGAGAAGTGGTTTATTCCGGGCAGCTTACCCCGGTCATAAAGTCGGACAAGCACTGATAATTCCGCGAACCGATGCTTCGGAAATATTCTACGTCGGTGGCCAACGGCTGCCGATGCAGACGGACGAACACTTATCCTCGCGCACAGGAATTTAGAAATTTATCTACGTCGGTGGCTAATTACTACCGACGCAGACGGACGAGCACTTATGAATCGCGAAACGGCGGCGAACTGCTGCCGTTTGGTCGGAAACAGATACTTAGAAATATTCTGTGCCGGTGGCTAACTGCTGCCGACACAGACGGACGAGCACGTATAAATCCGCGAACAGATACCTAGAAATATTCTGTGCCGGTGGCTAACTGCTGCCGACACAGACGGACGAATACGGTAATTTCGCGAACAGATACTTAGAAATATTCTGTGCCGGTGGCTAACTGCTGCCGACACAGACGGACGAGCACGTATAAATCCGCGAACAGATACCTAGAAATATTCTGTGCCGGTGGCTAACTGCTGCCGACACAGACGGACGAATACGGTAATTTCGCGAACAGGTACTTAGAAATATTCTGTGCCGGTGGCTAACTGCTGCCGACACAGATAAACGAATACGGTAAATCCGCGAACAGGTACTTAGAATTATTCTGTGTCGGTGGCTAACTGCTGCCGACACAGACGGACAAGTACGGTAAAATCGCGATGCCTGGTCGGCCGACGAGGCTCGGCTGCCGGGTCTTGTAAAAGTTCCCGGTGGTTCGGTACGGTGTGGAAGCTTTACTCACCGGCGGATGCCTTGCCTTCTCGTCGACTTCTCTTCACGATTCTCGCTGGAGCTCTCCTTGGTAGCTGATCTGGTGGACTCACTGTCTCTCACGGTCTGCCTCTATCTCTCGTCGAGAGCGGGTTTTATACCCTAAATTCTTCTCGACGATCGGTGGCCGATAATCGGGGGATTAGTTCCCCCCGATTTCCCGGAAAGTCGCGCATGCGATTTTCGCGAATTACCCCTTTCTGGGGGGACCGATCTTCCCCGACCGCTTCGCAGAATTTGGCTTCTTCCGGCGATCTGGCGGGTTGCCGCGGCATAGGTGTTGCCGGGCGCTTAGCGATGATTTCTCGCGATCGTGTGACGATCGGTGGTCGCCGTCGCACGATGGTAACGGGGGTAAAAACTCCTCGTTACATACTGTATTTCTGAAAAATCAGGAAAAAAGTTGTCACATGCAAAACAGTTCAATCGCCATAGATAAACTTTTACCTGTTGTCTTACCCAATTCAACCATATCAGCAGAATTTGGACCACCGTTGTCATGTATAGGTGATTTCTCAGTAAGCTGCAAATTGAAGAATTTTGCTGTCTCCTCACATATAGGCACGACGATAATATTGTGATCTATAAGATGAAACTATGAATACATTTCTACTGATAATATTGGGTGAGTGCAAAAGTTCGTGCGGAGTTTCAATAGATGGTGTTATAAGCGTCGTAAAGTGTTGTCATTAATACTTCCATCTACATATTATATAACGTTGGAAAGGTGACATCTTCAGCTGTTATTAAAAAAAAATCATTTGTTTTCATACAAACTGCTTCGAGAAATATCACTTTAAAAATGAGTATCGATAAGGTGCATTTACGGCATGTTATGCTTTACGAGTTTCGGAAGGGAATAAACGTTGCCGCAGCCGTAAAAAACATTCAGGATGTTTATCAGGATGAAGCACCAGCTAAACTGTGGAAAAATGGTTTGTTAAATTTCGGCGCGGAGAATTTAACCTTGAAGACGAGCCACGCTCTGGTCGACCTTCTGACATTGATGACGATGTTTTGCGTACTTTAGTGCTCAATAATCCGCGAATTTCAACAGAAGAAGTTGCTACAGCACTAAACGTTGACCGATCAACCGCTTTTCGGCGTTTAAAAAAGATGGGATTCGATTTGAAGCTCGATATATGGGTGCTCCATTTGCTGACCGAGAAGAACAAAATCAAGCGAATTTCTGCAGCCGTTTCTTTACTCGGGCGGCTCAATAACGAGTCGTTTTTGGATCGACTAGAGACGGGCGATGAGAAATGGGTCCTCTACAACAATGTTCAGCGCAAACGGACATGGAAACAATCAGGTGAGCATGGTGACGCAATGCCAAAGGCCAGTTTGCACCCGATGAAGGTGATGCTCTCTGTTTGGTGGGATTGCAAGGGCATAAT